ACGGGTAGGAATTTGCAGGAACTGAGCAGAACAGTGGAGGACAGGGAGCCTGGGAGATGCCTCATTCAATGAGTCAAGTCAGATAGAATTGGATAGAATTGCTTATGGGGCTCTCCTTTAACGTTTCTTTGCATAGCCTCAGTTGCATATGGGGCTGTCCTTTAATAGTTATTAAATTTATTCCTTTAATGAGGGGCCCTTTTTAGGAAAGAATGGGATCCACTGACATTTGAAGCAACCACGGTACATTTTACAATTGGTTTGGAATGAGACATTATTAATAAAAGGACAGGTATCTTCGATGCTTAGAATAGAAAATGTATAAATATACAAAAGTAATATGGAAAACTATATGGAGTCAGATCAAATGACAGAACAATCTGAAGCATAAAAGTGTTGGGTAATATAGAAGAAATTAAAAGATAAGGAGGGTGCACTGATTGATTTTGTTTAGGTTTTCATGTTCTTTTATGTTATATGTCTATGTTTGCGTTTGATCCGTATGCATATGTGAGATTTTAACTTTGGAAAAATAAAACTTTTATAGAAAAAAAACAAAACAAAAAGAGGGACCCTAAAGGCACCAGATCCCATTTAATCTTGGAAGCTAAACAGGGTCATGTCTGGTTAGTACTTGGATGGGAAACGGCCGGCGAATCCCAGGTGCTGTAGGCTCTATTTCAGAGGAAGAAACTGGCAAGGAACTGAATCTTCCCTGCCTAAGAAAACCCTACAAAATTAATGGGTTTGGCAGAAGTCAATGGGTGACTTGAAGGTACATGCACACGCATTTATTTAAAAAGCATTTTGAAATTCATTAAGATGGATGGTGGCGGCGGTCATAATGAGGATGATGAGCAAGAGTAGAGTTGCCAGGGATCAGGATCTTCCCACACCCTGAAGTTTCCGGTTACCAAATCCTGAAAATTTGGAACAGCTCCTGATGATGTCTTTAAGAGCGGTATGAATTAAGCCGTCACCCGAATTGCTCACATCCGGTCATTCAGACGCACGCACACTCCTCAGACAGACCTGTTCTGGTTGGAAAT